TGTTGTTTTTTTTAGCTCATGGTGATCATCTCATATTTGTCTTTCAGACTGATATCCTCGTCCTCCTCGTCTTCCTCCTCGTCTTCCTCCTCGTGGGGCTTCTCAGGCTCGTCACGGTGGTGGTGCAGCTCAATGAGCAGGTAGTAGATGACGGCTGCGACCACGCCCCCCACCATGGGCCCTGCCACAGGGATCCACCACCAGTTGTCTGCAGTGCTAAAGGGAAGCATACAAAGGAATAAGAGGAAAGAGTTCAATATGTCTCTGGCAGTCTCACAAGCAGCAGGCACATAGGCCACTGCAGGTCCCTGGATCATTCACAAGCATCGACTGCATCTGTTAAGTGCATGTGACATTATATAACAGCGTAGTTCATGTCAACAGCTCAGCAGGCAGGCATATATATATATATATATATGTGTGTGTGTGTGAGTGTATGTGTCATAATTTAAACTGTCTCAGTTTATTATTGGATTGAATTAATTTGTTAATAAAGATTGGATGCATGTCTTTATATAAACAATACAAACAAATAAACATTGTTTTGCGGAAAATGAAACAATAACATTTGTTTTGGTTCTCTCAAAAATAGCAATTCACATTTTGCCACTATGGACTTTTAGCTACTTTTAGGATTACAATTCATTAATCAACAGGTCTAACACTAAAATTACTGAGTTAACTATGTAGGTTGATAAAATTACAGTTCTCTTCAGATGTAACATCTATTTATTCCATGTTTCTTTATAGTTCTCAATTTTCCTGGCTCAGCATTATCTCATATGACATTACAACTAATAAATCAATTTTTTTAAACGATGGGTCATTTCTCTAAGGTCTGATCATTGCCAAGAGACCCACACAGAGTATAATAGCATTAATAGTGTATTTGATTGAAAACTGGTACAAAACTTAACATAACATTTTTTAATCAGATGTATTTTTTTTTTAAATCCTGATCTGTCGTCTTCTGCTGTAGTACCTGAAGACCTCCATGCCCCATCCTGCTACAGCTGTGAACAGTCGGGGTCCCAGGTCTCTGGCAGGGTTGAGGGGGTAGCCACAGTTCAGTCCCATGGACACACCAATGGCCATGATGATCAGACCAATAGCCAGTGGCTGCACACCTTTGGGAGCTCCAGTGTTTTCATCATCAATGATAGCCAGGATGCACAAGACCAGCATACCTGTCCCCACCACCTGCAGGAGCAGAACGCCATTCGTTTGATAAACAGCAGAGTTTAGGCAGGTACAACTACAGCGTTGATTGATTTTGTTTTCCCTGATTATTTGTATTTCTTGTTATTGTGTTTATATCGCCTTGCGTTTTTAAGAGAGAAGCTCTTAGCTTCCTACCTCTCCTGCACACATTTCTGTTTACTTTACATTCATGTATATCTGAGTATATGTGAATGTCTTTGTGTAAATATCATATATTTTAAAAATAAATATAATGCCTAGAATCAACCTGTATTGGCTGTATTGAGTAGACTACATTAATATCACATTTGCTATATCATATATGTATCATATAGATAGATATAATTAAAACAAGTAAGTCTGATCTTAATGTTTCAAATCTAGGTTTTAACTGCCATTAATTATTTAAATAAAAAGTATTTAATGACCACAACCTGCAGCACCGCTGTTACACAGATATTCAAAAGGAAACAATAACATAAGCACAGTCACACTGATTAGACTTATCTGGTTCACCTGATGTGGTTTTCAACAGTTTTAAGCTGGTAGAAGTGTTATTTTTGGATCGCTGCACAGACTAAAAAGACGGAAAATGGTGTTAAGTATAGATTTGACCTTCCAGTGAATGCCAGGAAATGGGTCATTAGACCCAAAACTAAGCAAAAGACGGGGTGTTCGCAGACTAAATGGGGCAATCAATTTTGCATTAGCTACATTTGTCAGACTTTGCAGTATTTAGAGCCTGAATGGGAGTGGCGATGCAGAGTAGAGGGTAGGTCATTGGGTCACAGTGCACAGAGCTCACCTGATCGATGAAGCCGCCGAGGACCGACAGGTATCTCGCAGGGTAGGAAGCAAAGATGTGACCTGTTGCATTGATTCCTGTCACTGACAGAACCCCACTGGTGAAGTCCATGAAAGCATCTGTGAGGAGGACAAATACATATTGTAACTGTGCACAGGGATCCATTAAGAGTTTTTTTTCAAGTTTGGGAGGATCTAAGTTTTTGGAGATCATTAACAACTGTTATGGTTTAATATGCATGTATAAGGGAATAAAGCATAGGTGTATTCACCATAGTATAACCCGAAGACTGCAGCAGCTCCAGCAAAAGCTCCAAGAAACTGAGCGATGACATAGAAGGGAAACTTCCAGATCTTCAGTTTGCCCAGAATCACCATGGCCAGAGACACTGCAGGGTTCACATGGCCCCCTGGGACAGAGGACAAAGCAGAGAGTGAGAGAGGGGCGCAGAGGGTGGGGGTGGCTGGCCGCCATAATATCCTCTCCATCATTAACGAAGCTGTCACATTTACAAGGGGCAGCAGAAGGGGAGCGGCACCTGGGGCGGTGCAAGGTTTTGTTATGTATGTTCACAATTAGAATAATGGTCACATATTAGAAATTCAACCTATAAGTCAAAAAACAAACAAAAGCGGCTTTTTTCCGTTCCTTTTTTTTCATCAAACTGTGCTTACATCCTGCCCGTTTTAATTGTTTAAAAGCATATTAAAAATCAGTTGGCAATCTGTCTTCCATGTTTTCTATAATGTAATCTATTTGGTCCTTTTGATGTAAAATTGGAAGAAGCTGCTGCTCAGATGAGGCAAGCAGTCTCGTTTGGAGTCTGGTCTCTGTCAGAGACAGATGAACGTAGCCTATGATCAATGGAGTTTGCAGGACATTTAGTGCCCAGGGTTATGTATGACCCCAGAGAGGTTGTGCACTAACACTAACAAATCAATGGTCAGACCACATTCATTGAATCTGGACAGAGAGCTGGCACGTTCCTGCTGACACTGGAGCCATGGAGGTTGCACATGGCTGGACAGGAAGCCGTAAAGTTATATTATTACAAGCTGCAAGCCTCACTAGTAACAACGTTTTCATTACAACAGATACAAGCGAGCTGTGTCAGACTGTTTATGTATTCTGGCACAGGTTGTCTATGTTAACTACTGTCTGTAGTACAAAGCAGCAGATCAAATGAAGCAAAGAAGCTGCAAACAACAAGCAACTATATTATTAAAACTGATGTTTTTCAGATGATTTGACAACATACCAGTACCCAGTAGAGTAGGAAATTGATCTCAGCAACATCCATTAACAAGTATTCATTAAATTATATTGCACATGCTGTACCATATCAGCCACTCTGAGTGGGGTGTGGCAGCTCATGTGAGATAAGTTCTACCTGAGTGGAAATAAATAACTAGGTGCTGAAGTTAGAAGCACATTTACCTGACACTCCACCAGCAACATACGCTGCCATCATCAGCCCTACAGAGAAGCCAATGTGGACGGTGAGAGGCTCACCCAGGGTGTTTCGACTGAGGGTAGTCTGAGCGACTGAGCCACAGCCAAACAACTGAAAAACAGAAAGGACGCGAACAACAGTTTTTCACTGACATCTGTTAAGTTGACAACAACAAGATAACATAATGAAGAGCATATATGGAACAAGAACAGTTCTGAACACAAGCTTGAGCAGTCTGGAGCTCAATACTAAACAAGATGTCAGACTTGAAACAACTTTTAAGGCAAATATATAGTGTAAAGTAATATATATATATATATACAAAATGCTACTTACAACCAAGACAAATGTCCCCAGGAATTCTGCCAGGAATTCCTTGAGTATTCCATGTTTGAGAGCACAGTGTTGCCTCATGCTTGGCTTTTGTTGTATTTCCATGTATCACTGTGCCAAATGCTGTTAAAACTACCAAATGTTCAGCAGTGTGAATCTCCGGAGTTGATCAGAGCTCTCGTGTCAAATCTCCACCTCTACCCGACTGCAGCCATTCAGCTCAGATCATTGATCCATTTGTACAACCATCACACTCCTTCGTCAGCCTCGTCAACACAAAGAGTTTCATAGCAGACGACAGGCCAAGTGATAGACAGGTGTGATTTGTACTCCATTAAACACCAATTCAAATCAGGTTTTCTTTATTTCTGTGTGTAGTCATCAGTGGTGGCATGTAATTAAGAACGCAGGTACTGTTCTTAAGTAAAAGTTTGAGGTACTTTACTTTTGTGTTTTTCCATTTTGTGCAACTTTATACTTCTACCTCACAACATCTCAGAGGCAAATACTGTAACCTTTACTCCACTACATTTGTCTGACAGCTTTAGTTACTATTTAATTTTCAGATTACAATTTTTCATACGCTTCCTATCCAGTGAAAACCATGTATCTCCTGATTTGGTGATCTTTCTAATGAAGGTTTGAAATGTTCCTTTATGTATTGAGAAAATACTCCCACTTCTTGAGCAAAATTAACAATTTACACCGTACCCTTGGATTAGCTGGAAAATGCATCTTCACTAAGCTGAAAACAGGGCTGTTTTTCTGACCTCATGAAATGTTGAATTTTTAGAGATATGTGGTTCCCACAGGACAGCAACACTAGAAACATATGATGATTTTATAGAACATGATGCATTGCTGTAGAATAAACTAGCTACTAACAACAGTATATAAAGTAGTTAAAATTAGTTCAACCATAAACATCTACAGCAGTAAAATGCTACATACACATTAATGCAGCAGTAACATTAATCCAGAAACATCAGATATAAGAAACAGACAGGGAACATTTTCTGGATAATGAGTACTTATAGTGAAGTACATTGTGCCGCTAATACTTACATAATTTTACGTTTTGAATGCAAGACTTTTACTTTTAGTGGAACATTTTCACAGTGTGGTATTGTTACTTTTAGTTAGGATCTGAATACTTCTACATCTACCACGACTTTACAGTTGGTGTATAAACATGAGAGAATGTTGGGATTGCATTTTAATACATTTATTCATTAGTTTAAGATTTACAGTTTGCACCATATTAACTCACACCAAAAAACAACAACGAATAACTTAGGGAACAAATTAATCAATTTAGTAAAAGTAAATAAGTTTCAAGCCAGTTTCTCTGTTGCACTGAAAAACATGTTTGTCAGATACTGTAGTTACATATGTTGCCACAAGAGGTCAGCCTTGGCAAGGTGCCATGCTATTCACAACTGGAAACATTATGAAATCACACCTGAGCTGTTAATAGAATTATGTTGAATTATGATATCAGTGATTCTTCACAGTAAGTCCAAAGCCCCTTCATAAAGTCCAGAAATGACTGCATTTTGTTGCTATCACACGTCAGTCAATCAGTCAGATCCAAAGTCATCCACATTGTTCACATCGTCCTCCACAACCTTAATCAAAGGAGGTGATTTCCTCTTACGCCTGTTAATGCAAAAAAAACAACATATATATATAAATTATATATATATATATATATTCAATTACTAGAGTTAAAGTACAATGTGATTTGATTTACATTAAACACAGAAACTCAGTGGTCACCTCATCTCATTCCGCAGTGCACTCAGTTGGCCATGAAACTGCTCGTTGGCCTCGATCTGTTCGTCCAGTTCTCTCTGCAGCTTCTTTTTAGCGTGTTCCAGACGCTCGATCTCCTCCTCCGCCTCATCCATCTGCCTCTTCGCCGTCTTCAGTCTCTGAGTCAGCTGCAGAGTTCACAGAAGTGAGATATTGAATCACAAGTCAAGTCGGCTGCTCCCGACAACTTTGTGTTTAAAAGACGTGTCTACCTGGTCTCTCTGGCTCTGCAGGTTGACGTGTTCCTCGTCCGCCTGAATCTTCATCTCCTTCACCTTGCGCTCCAGCCTGCGGTTCACTTGTTGCAGGTTGTTGTTGTCTCTGAGGGCAAAAGCACCAAGAGATCACATCGCTGCTGCAGCTCCCTGTAACTCAACACCTTCCCAGTGTGTTTGGACCAGAGACACTTAACCTTACAACCACAGGGAAAGTGATATGAGTGGGTTCACTGCTCGACAGCCATCAAGTATCTGATGGAGCCATTATCCAAAGTGTCTTTCAAGTGTTATCCTTCACTGGTATATACAAACTGTTTCCATTTATGTCTGCAAATGTTTAATGTTATAAGGTCATTATTTAATGTGCAGGTGCTCACCTCTCTTCTCCTTGCAACCTTTCCTCAAGCTCCTGGATGCGGCTGTTAAGTTTAGAGACAAGTGAATCCTGGTTGGTCTTCTGTGATGCTTCCAGATGAGTCACTCTGCTCTTCATGTCTTTATTCTGACAGAGGAAATGAAACAGAAGAATGTCATAAATTAGGCAACCCTGGAGAAGTTTTTGACCAGTAGTGGTGCTATGGAGAAATGTTTTTTATGAGTGGGTCCCAGTTTTGTTTGTTCTCATGCATGAACACATGCTGGCAGATGGTGGTATACACAGTCCAGCCAAGAGTTTCACATTATACCACTGATCTAAACGTTCTAAACGATCTAAAGTACAGCCCTGTGACAGAAAATGCATGGAAGGTACTGACGACCTCAGCATTGGCCCTATGTTGTTCTTCCGTGTTACTGTGTTTATTCACTTTTAATCCAGGAAGTTGGTGGGTGGAGCTGAGACTTTTTCAGGGATGCAACACACCTGAGCAGGCTGGGCACCAGAGGCTATAAATCAGACCTACAAGATCCTCTAACTCTCGCCTGCTGAGTGATGTTTTTGTGTGTGTGATCATGATGGAGAAAAACAGTTAAAGGAGGAAATTATTAAAGAGGTGTTGAGTGTTGTGACACAAATACAGAGGGGTGTAAACAACACAGATTTCACAATTTAAAAAAACAGCTTTGCATTTTGGTGATTAACACTGAATTAAACAGAAACAAGAAAAGCCTGCAGGTTACCTTAAGTAGGTAACACTAACATTTAGATGTGCGCTGAGAGTAATGATGCTGGATTATCTGGGCTATTAAATGTCCTGCAGGTCTGATGCCAGATAGGCAGGGTTTGCTGAGTTACACATGGGGTTGGTGATAATATAGTTTAATACTTTATTTATACAGCACTCTTCACAAAGTTGCAAAGTGCTTTACATGGTTGAACCAGGGTGTAAACAGGCAAGTAAAGATAAATATAATAAAATGGAATTAAATACTCAGCAATAACAAAAGATTAAAAGAAAAAAATGGTGTCAGCCATCACATGATGTATTTAGAAGTCATTTTAGTTTTCTTTTCTTTAAATTTACGTGATTTTATTTGTAGATTTTCAACCCCCTAAATATAAGCTTGATGCTTCATTATCATTCTTAAGACCTGGTCCACTTTCTGGAAATTGTCCAGAGCTTTCAGCCACATCTCATGGCATTCATCAGCGGATAGAGTATTCTCAGTTTAAGTAGAGATCAGTTCAAGATTTTCAGTACAGTATAACATTTGAAAAAAAACATATGTAATATATA